ATGCCTTCCCCTCCTTGCCTGGCACACTCCCCAGCTCTGCCATTAATCAGAGAGGAAAAGGGTATTTCAGTGCATGTGTGTTTGTGTGTGAAGGCGAGAGAGATGCTGACTGTGTGAGTGTCTCACTGAGTGTTTATGTGTATCTGTGCGTGTGTTGATAGAGAGCTGGATGGGTCGGCAGTGATGGTATGGAGACCAGGATCTCACAACAAAGCTGCAGAGTTCACCCAGAGAACAAAAGGAGGGAGGGAGGGAGGATGACAGACATAAAGCCTGGTGAGCAGATTGGGACTGCCAGCGACTGAAAGGAAGAGGTAGACAGATGATCTGCAGAAGTTTTTAGCATCTCAGTATGAGACCACAATCTCTAAAGATGGCCAAAACCTTGTTTGTAAGTATTTTGTGCTGCAGCAGCACCTGCACACAAATGTGTAATAGGCTCACTAGGCCAACAGTCCAGTCCATGACCTGAAATGTTAACAAATTACATCAAGATTCCCTTCAAGGAGCACGCTTTCCTCTTCTACTCTCCTTCCTTCGCCCTCTGATTATCCAGGTGGGAGTCAAAAAAAATTCCAACCTGCTCTGCTTTCACCCCCCCAGCGGGCCTCCCAGAGTGCTTTTCTGCTGACATCACTGCACAGAGACCTGGCAAGCCAATCTCTCCCCTGCTCTATCATTCCCTTCTCCCTGCTTCCTGCCCTGATGATGTCACACACCATATGGTTTTCAGCAGTATCAAGCCGGAAAAGAGATTTACTCAGTGGAGAGGAGAAGGAGAGAAAAGGAGGAGGCATTGGAACGAAGCGCAGGTTGGACACACACATAAAAAAAAAAAAAACACAAAAGGTTCGCTCTTCCTCTTGTGTGCACTGTGAGTGGAAGGTGGAGGAGGCGAGGAGGAGAGGGGGAATGGTTGCATTGTGTGAGGCTAATGAGGAGAGACCAGGGAGCAGAGACCATGCATCGGACAGCCATGTGCTGCACAGACGCGCACCGGATTGGCCCGCGCACAAACACACACACACACGGACATACGCGCATTACAACAGAGCCAGTGCAGTGCAGCAGGGAGGCCGGACCGAGCTAACAAGGTCGCTGAAAAGGACACAAAACGTTGACATGTGCGTTGCCTGACAACTCTGTTTCAATATTTATGAAGATTTTCAGTCAGTCGAAATTTTACAGTAACATTAGATCTCATAAATACTGGTAGGAACACACCAACAGACAATTATCACATTAGATTACCCGACTGCAGTACCTCAGCGTCACAGAGCGTTTTCTTTTTTTAGGTTATTTTGATTATCTTTTCATCCAATGTTAATCCTCTTATCAGCATTTTTCAGACAAAAGAGTGGAGAAAAAAAAGCTCCACACACTGACTGTATGCACATGCACCAAGTTGGCTACTATCCGGTGAACATAATAGAGCTTTTAACTTCTAAAGAGCCACATATTGCCCCGAGGTGATGGAGGAGACACAACCCAGCTAGAAGGAGGGTGAATATTGGGTTTGCATTCATCAAGGGCCAAGAGACACCAAGGGGTTGGTCTATGGTCAAGGTTTTTGGCACAGCAGTGGCAGTACAAAGTCCATTTATTTCTAGAGCTAAAGCTCATATCACATGATCTTCCTCAATTCTTCAGATGCTCAGAAAAACTGGACATTTAAAGTATAATTTGACAGCAACTGGACAAACCAACAGAAGATTCTCTGATCTCAGGTTCGAGCTCCAGATAAAGCCTTAATTACCTTTCAAGATTGTTAAATCAGCTTCTTGTAGTCTTTTCTGGTCAGTATTGCAGCCCAAAGATTGATCCCTTATACCTGGGTAATAAAAGTCAGGCTTTTTATCCCACTTGAGTTTCAAATTTGACACAATTGTGCACTCAGTAACCAAAATTAAACAAGGTTCACAGCTTCAACGCACAATGCTGCATTCCCCAGATGTTTCCAGCTATCTTCCCTCCATCACGGCAGTATGTATAAAGCTATGCTAAGCTAATTGCTCACTCTCTGTAACTTCCTATGCACCATACTGACATGAAATCAGTTAATACTGGCAAGAAAGTGAGCGAGCATATTTCCTGAAATTGCAAATCACTATGGAAAATTATAGTTCTGTTGTTAAAATGGTTGAGTTATATTTCGTATGTTTTCTATTTTGTGTAATTTATATTTCTGTCATAAATTTGCATGATTACTTAATGGACTGAAACCTGAAACAACTGAAACAACTGAAACAACGTCACATCCCTCCCTGATGAAGGAAAGATAACCAGAAATGTTTGGGGAATAAAATATGGTGTCAGCGTCCACAAAACCAGAAACTATTTTGCACTCATACATGCTTTCCTCTATGCAAAGGCAGGGGGGGGAAAAAAAAAATCCAGCATTTCTTATCTGGCACTAATCATGGCATGATAATTGTCCATCACCACCAGACGGGCAAACTAGAATAGCGACCAAACGCACACAACAACTCTGCTCATTCAAATGACATGCCTTGCACGCCTCTGCGCTAAAGCTGTCACAAAACCGCTCATTACAATGAATTAAGAGAGAGTGTGTGCATAAATGTTGAGCCTACCATTCAATTTTTGGTGGCGAAGGGAATCTGAAGCTGGAGGGGGTGTGCGTCTGGTATGGTGGGGTGGTCACAGCAAACATCTGGAGATATGTGTGGCCATGTCCACTGGAGAGAAAGAAAAGAAAGTAGAGACGGATGATTGATGAGAATGAAAGACAGAGGAGAGAGCAACAGACCTGGTGTTGGTGAGCTGAGTAAAGTGTGGAGCGTTGCACTCAGATAGTCTGTTTCAAGGTGTTAAAATCACTTTTAGACTGTCCTGTCTATTGTCTGACGCTGTTCTGTCTCTCTGCTGGCAGGCGGGACCGGAGCAATAACAGGGCGATTGCAAAATTCGTCACTCAAAGGCTAAATTGAAACGAGGTGCTTTGGGCCTTGGAGACGCGGTGACCCTGCAACGTATCTGATCACAGATGTCTGAAAAAGTTGGCTACAGTCACTCAGGCTGCTCAGCCCCTCACTGTGTTTTCATATCCACTAAGATATATGTCACATGTATAAAACCTGCACTTGGAGAAAACGCTGGGAAAGGTGTGTGATTTAGAGGGTGACTGCAGACTGTTAAGGGATTTAGCTGTTCAGCCTGCCTTATCTCCAGCTCTGGTTCCTGACCGAGTGTTGGTCTTTGGGAAAGTAGACATGCACGGGCTTTGGGATGGGCTCCCTGCGCTGTGTTTGGGGCTCAGCTCTCGCAGCCTTAATTGAATCATTGCTTACAACCAGCAATTTGGAGGCTTTTTTTTTTTTCTCTTCTGTTCAGTTCATTAAAAGTTCAGCATTTCAGGTCTGCTGTGCTCCAGATTACGGTATGTTAAACTGTGTTTTGACAGGCTGAAGTTTAATGTCCAGCGCAGGCCTCAGGAGGCTGATTGATTAGTGAGATAAAGTCTGTCTGGGAAGACAATGCCTGTACCCAGAGACACACAAAGAGGCAGAAATGAAGCAACATGTTTATAGTATTATGCTTTTTTTTTTTCTTTTTCGCTTTATTGGACGATTAACAGTGAAGAGGTGGACAGGAAACATGCAGTTCATGTCCCAGGCTGGAATTGATCCAAGGACTTTACAATTTCTTGGTGACTCTTTGCTTTTCTCCAGATATAAGCTTGCCTTCAGTTATATCTGTCCTAGCCGTGCTGTCGTGTTCGCTATCAGACAATGTACCAGTAAATCTGGTTCTACGAGCTAAATGAGCTATCGTGCTGCAATGTGTCATAAAAAAATGCTACTAAGTGATGCTTTTGTAAATAAGTTCAATTCTAGGCTTTGGCACTTGGCATCTTCAAATAGTTTTACCTGAGTGAATCTGACTACAAGTCATCTAATTGCACCTAACCAGTTTCTACCTGTGTTATTTGTCTGTTTGGAGGCGATTGCAGGTGCATGTTTCCCACAAAAACAACAAAAACTTTGCAAATTTAACTCTGATTAGTTGGACTACAGCTCTGTAATGAGGTGTCACATTCAGATTCCTAATAAAAATGCATTTTTTAACATCGGCACATGTAAAATCTGCCACATTGCATGCAGTTATACACATTACATATTTGAGACGAGTAATTAATAGAGTTAATTTTCATATAAATACAAACTTTCTGTATTTTTTTCTGCTCGGGACTTCAGGGGTTAAATAACATTACCAGCCATAATCATACAGTTTTAAATGTGTGTAAACTGAAGCAGAAAGAAATTTGTAAAACACATAACCTACCTGACAAGCAGCATGTGACATCACTATGCGTTTCCTTTGCTGGAGACTATTTTAGACCATGAATTGAAACCCGGTCACATCCTTGATAGAAGATATCTATTCTCCTACACAACTCTGCCCACCTCTGCCTGCGAGGTTATCATCAGTTCATCAAGGGAACATGGAAGTGAGAGACAATACCTTCGTTCACTTCACCAGAGCCCTGGGATGGATCAGATCGTTTTAATGAAACGCCGGCACCTTGAAGTCGGATAATTTGAAGAGGAAGAGACGCTCCATGCTTTACGAGATAGTCAGCTGCTGATGTGATCAAAACAAACAGGCCTCAGAGTCCGTAAGTGTTTCACTGTCTCAGCGTGATGGTAAAATAATTAGTTTCATTAATTTCAATCTGCGGTCTGACAAACACCTCTGGATTTCCAGTGGAAAGACCTGAGCTGGAGGCCTGACGAACGTAATCCATCTAAAGCAGCACATCAAACATGAGTTAATGTTTAGAGATGGTTAATGACTCCTGTTAACTGCAGCGTACAGATTAAATCAAAATGTGCTTTTTCAGAGACACTGAAACTGATTACATGCAGAATTTTTCCAGAAATGTTTTGTCAGTTACTTCAGCTGTAGAAATGATACAACAATCAAGCCTTAGGCAATGGTTAACAATAAAAAATAAAGTTCTAAATGGTGCCAAAGGGCATCTGACACACGGTCGAGGCGTTTTTGTGAGGCCACAACACTGCTACACTTTTTAATGCATATCACTACTGTAACTAAACACTCAGATACCATGCTTGAATATGGTTTAAAACATAATTTACATGCACATTTTGCCACTACTTCATACTTCTCCACTACATTACTGAGGGAAATACTGTACTTTTTACTCCACCACATTATTTTAAAGCTGTAGTTACTTTTCAAATTAAGAGTTTATACACCTAATGTATGATTTGCTCTTTAGATATAAAACATTGACTCTATTGCAGTATATAAAACAGTTTAATCAGCTCCGATTACAACATTAATATGCAGTTTACATGTTAATGGATCATTAATGTTAATAAATCAGTTATCCAATCATGCAAGATAACAATGCTGAAACTTGTAGACACCAATATATATGTACTTTTGGGTACTTTTTTGTACATTTTAACTGTAGGATTTTTACATAATTGTGGGCTGCTTTTACTTCTGAATACTTGTTATGGTGAATCTGAAGGATATTCATCCCTGAATATTAACTCACTTGAGCTTAAACACCATTATTTTTTGCAGTATTTTGGACCTTTTGACCAACAATGAGGCTGATTTTCTGTGTAACTCATCAATATATCCCGTTTAATGGTGACTCTGTGTTTTCCATAAGATGCTCCACAGCTGTCCTACCTTTCCATTTGCCCCCACATCACTGCGCACCACGTCCGCCTGGACAGGGCCTATGGGACTTGCTGCCATTGGGTGTCGCTGTGCGCGTAAAGTCTCAGCCGGCAGGTTTTGGTCCGACCGGACCCCAACACAGTCTGAAGTGTCAGATAGTCTTGTTAACACGTGAGAAATTCAGTGTGTGGAAGAGGGCGAAAGAGGGGAAAACCGGGAGAGAGAGGACTGCGAAATTACGCGGAAGAGACGTTTTGAGAGAGAGCTGGACTCGGGAGGGAACCGCGGAGATCTTAATGAGGGAATGCCGAAAAGGAGAGAAGACAGACGGCCAGAGCACCAGACATGAGTCCGAGGTAAGACACGGGATACGGCACAGAGGCAGGGATGGCATCCAGGCAGACGTGTGATCAAAGTTTGAATCAGAATCAACAGCTTTTAGTTGGACTACAGAGATGAGTTTATCCAGCTGTTTTATGCGTCTTTACGCTTTGAGCCGATTGATGTAGCCAATGCTGACAAAGACCGAGCATCTGGACCATATGTGATGTGACACGTCCGGCCTGAAGCTTATCTGATATACACTGACTTGTACTTATTTTTATTTTTTACCTTTATAACCTTGATACATGTAAATTGTTTATATGAATCATCCAACACGCTGTAGGTCTTGTGTCAGCTCAGCGTGTGTGCGTAAAATAAGAAATAAGCTTAGAATTTACAAAACCCACCTAAAATGAGATGTTTTAATAATTTATTTTAAAGTTAAATAGGAGAGACTTCTCCACAAAAGGGGAAACATATTTTTATTGCTTTTTTTGTATGTGTAAGCGAGTGCCCGGAGTGTGCTCTGTGTCATGGCACACAGCTGCGTTTTCATTATTTAGAATAATTATAATATTATGACATCAATCTCATGTGGTAGAAAAAAAGCTTGACCGCTTTTTAAGTGGTCGAGAACGTTGTTTAAATGTGACCAGAAAAGGCCCATATGTCGTTAAGGTGCCTGTTATTAGGGGAGGATTTTATCTGCCCATTTCGAGTCTCCATTTCAGGTGACGATTGAGGGTCTCCACTGCACAACAGGTGTTCTACCTGTGAGAGAGAGACAGAGAGGGAGGGAGGGGACGTGTTTAAACCTCCTTTTAGTTTCCCTATCACTCATTCTCCTCTTTAAGGCTCATTTTCAGGCAGTTTGTTTCAATGGAGATCTGAAGAGAAAAAGACTTTCATTTTAACCGTTTTCCTGATTTCCTTAATTAATAATAATAAAAGTGTTCAATTACCAAACAGCAACACATTTACTTCCTCAATTACACCAAAAAAGCAAACACAGATTGTGAGTGAATTAAAACTGATTAGAAAGACAAAATAAAATTGATAGATGATAGTGTTTGATAGGGAGTTTAATTTAGTTTTTTTTTTTTTTTGGCACGAAAAGTTTTATTTCCAGCAACTTCTCTCCAAAGTTAGGGTGGGCAGGCTTATCATAAATATGCAACATATAGGCATGTATACAATAGCTGCCTGTCTCTTTAAGACGATGTGTTGAGAAGTTCAAGTCGGGGTCACTTGAAGTTCCTGCCCTCGATTTTACCTTTTAGTTTTATTATAGACTGACATCACACGGGGCGCTAAAACACTTACGGCGCACGGAGGCTCCATTATCATCCCGGTGCGCGTTATTGCTCCGTCTCAAAAATAGCAAAGGAAATTACGAGAAAAAAAAATAGCAGGAAAATGAAGCTGGTCTAAGCACGTATTTTTTTTTTTTTTATATATAGGAGGGGATGAGAAAGGAGGGAGAGGAGGGGCAGAGAGACAGAGAGACAGAGGGAGAGGGAGGAAAGTGGGTGGGAGGACGGACCTAAGGAGCGAGAAGAAATTCATATCAATTAATAATCATAAAAAAAAGAGCTGGCAGACGCGCTCGGAAAACTGGCATGGTTTTTTGGAGGCTGGCAGTTCAAAGCTGAAACGTCAGATATGACTCCTAGAGACTGCTGAGATGATCATTAAGGGAGACTTAGATCGGATGGCAGAAGACATCGGGCATGCAGGTAAGAGCTGATATGCTTGTACACAGGCACCCAAACAAGAAGAAGGAAAGGGTGACATTTAGTTTTTTTTTAGTCACTGAACTGCGGAGTGTATGCTGTCAGAAATTATTTTTTAAAATTTTAAAATATTAGCAGAACTTACTTCAAATCCTGCAGCTTATTTATTTGTTTTTTAAATCTCGATTTATTCCAGTATCATTTTGACATGGACAGGAAAGACTCCGCTTAGTCGTTTTTACGCACGTAATTCAAGTCGATTGAAACATCTTCCCTGTTTCTTATTTTAAAATAATTATGCTTAGAGCAAACATCAAATTAATGTAAATTGTGTTGCTAATGTAAAATTCTTCAGGCGACTTTTAGAGGTTTCAGAAAATCAGCAAAATGATCGAAAATGTTTCGAGTGAAAAACAAGACAAGTCTGCAAAATAAAAATAATAAAAAAAAAAACCTGTCTCTCAAGTTTAATAATTAAAAAAAAATGTTTTTGAACTTACATTCGTTAAAACGCAACTTCAGCTTATTCACGAGTCCAATCCTGTTGTAAATTTAATAAGGAAGCTGCAGCAAAATCATAAAAGTCCCTACTGGACGCCGTGCGTAATGGTGTCAGCACAGGTGAAGACAGACGCACTAGAGAATGTTTTATGGATATTTGGATGGATTTTTTTTTCTCGTGCATGAATTTCCACTTCTCTCTGTACAAGCCGAGATTTTATGTAGCTGCACGAAAAAAAAAAAAGATGCTTGTCAGTGCTGCTGACAGGTCTGAAACGGAGAGAGTTGGTATAAGAAACAGCTGTCTGTTACGCGTCAAAGTGCAATGAGCTGAACACGGCCCGTTTGTAGAGGTGATTTAGAGCTTTATTTGTGTGTGGGTGATAAGGAGAAGTGAAGGATGGATGAGGCGCTGCAGCTCAGAGAGACGGATCCACTCGTGATTCGGTTTACTGCACAATATGTGAAGCGCACAGCAAAGCAGATTAGAGACGACGGGGTCCTCTCGGCGACACGTAGTCAGTAGACTCACGTATTAGAGAGTGACAGGAAAGTTCTGAACTTCAAATCGTTAATAAACACAGGGGAAGAAGTTTTTAAATAGTACATTTTATGTTTTTAATTTTCTAATAACTGTAAGACACATCCATCATTAATGTTTAGGGGCAGAAATTCCACAATAAAATGGAACGATGTGCGTAAAAATCTGCAAAATATTCAATTATTCGAATGTAAAAGTTGCCTGCTTACTCCGTTTAAACCAGAGAAGAGCTGATTATTATAACATGAAGTTTTTTTTTTTAATGTTTGTCTTGTAAATAACCTCTGTTAACTCAGTTCCCATCGAGATGAAGAAGCTGTATCACTCTCATCTCGCTATCAGTACTTTGTAAATGTGTCATGATTGTTACATGCGCGATTATAGCAATCAAACAGGAACTTGACTGATTCTCCATCACGTTTGCTGATCTCACTGAAACTTCAAGTCCCAGTCTGTAGCTATTTTTCAAACTTAAATGCAGAACTAACTAAAACTATTTGCCTCCTGTGATTCACCAAAAAAAGGCAGGATAAATAAGGTTGAATGGAATAAAAACTGCAGTGAAAAACTGCCTTTGCAAATTTACACTGACTTACAGCAGTGTCATAAATTGAACATGGTTAAATGGGTTCTAAAATAAACAAGCCTACATGAGCATGGGCAGCAAATTGAAATGAAAGAAAATAAAGTGTCAACACAACGTTTTAAGCAGATGTCTGGCGTGTTTATGTGACTGAGGCTGAACGTGGAGGTAGGAAGTTTAGTCTTTTGCTTCACCCCAAACCACAAAAGTGACAAAACAGACAAAGCACAGGGACAATGAATATTAATCTAATGCAAATAAGTGAATGCCATCACCGTAAACTACATCGCCATCGTCACAGTTTCCCCAACATGTTGACGGGTCATTAAAAAAGAAGGCTATCAGATGAAAACAGCCTTGCATCCCACAGGGACCCAAGTCTCTCAGGCGACTGTGCTGTATGTGCAACCTGGAAGATTAATTTAATTTAGCTTGTTTGACATGGCGAAACCAACTAAACAAGCTGTAGTGAAGGCTCTGAATGTGTTTGCAGGAGCTTTTATATGTTGCAGATTTACTTTAAGATATGCTCTCTGACTGAATATCATTTCAATCACAGATGGCTTCCTAACAGGATGCAGTGAACTTAAACATGCCTTTGAGATTAGAATACATGTTTTACTGTGGTGTTTCGCTTAATGTCACGTTAAACAGTGAGTTCAGATATTCTGAAAGGCAAGTTGTAGCCTCTCAACTGACTCAAACAGCAAAGGAAAACAAACTGTCTTGGTGAGAAACCTACAACCACGTTGTTACCAAAAATATTTGCACATTGCAGGTGCACAAAAAATGTTGCTGTGTGCATTAGATTTTTTTTTTGTGCTTCACAATTTTTTTTTATTTTTTTTTCAAATGTGGGTTTAGATGTACTACGTGTGCAAATGTCATCATGAATCACGATGCAAAGAAGTGAACTGCTTGAAAATAATATGACTTTGTAAACCGCACACGAGCGAGAATGTACACTTATTGTGTCTGTGTGAGTACACAATGTGTCACCACGCTCCGCACAGTAACTGGAGGCTGCAGAAGTTATTCAACTTATGGAAAGTGCTTGGCTTATGTCTCCTGTCACACTTATTCCTAAACACGTTTGATCTGACCGACGTGGAAATTTATAGTAAAACATGGCCGTTGAGTAATCAGAACCAGGCACAAAGAGAAACCCAGAGGTGGAAACACTTCAGATGACAACTGGGGACATGATGCATCGTGAACTTATCTAAACCTGACATTCCTGTCTTTATATTCAGTCTATTTCTTAATTTTTTGTATTTATTATCTTATACTGAGTAATAAATAGGACACAAGTAAGAACCTTCTGAAATCAAAATCAAAATCAAAATGAATAATACTTTTTAAAAACTATTGCCTTTAAAAGAT